TGAACTCTATAATTTTCCTACAAACTAAAAAATACATCCTAATTTGGGTTATTTTCACCAAAGACATGTAGCAGAATACATCTCGGCCTAAATTTATGAAGAACAATTATTTATTTGTAAACTTTTATAACAGAAACAAAGAAAAATGTGTTTTTTTTTCAAAATTTTTGGTATTTTTTGTTAATTTAGCAAAAAATAAAAACCCCAGCGGTGATTAAATACCACCAAAAGAAAGCTCTAGTTGTGTGAAGAAAATGATAAAATTTTAGTTTGGGTACAGTGTTGTATGGCCGCGCAATTGTCATTCAAAGTGTGAGAGCGCTGAAACCTGAAAAATGGCCTGGGCAGGAAGGTGTAAAATTGCACGGTATTGAAACGGTTAATGACTTCTCCCAGAGCTAATTGGAGCCAGGAGTGAGCCAACCTTGACTCCAATCAGTCTGATGATATTGGATGTGTTGCTGACAGCTGTCCTGCCCTGAAAAAAAACACACACCTGTTTTGGGTTTACTGGTTTCAAGAAGCACTGTCTGATGTGAACCATGCCTCGCAGAAAAGAGCTCTCAGAAGACCTACGATCAAGAATTGTTAACTTGCATGAAGCTGGAAAGGGTTACAAAAGTATCTCCAAAAGCCTTGATGTTCATGTGTCCATGGTAAGACAGACTGTCTACAAATGGAGAAAGTTTAGCACTGTTGCTACTCTCCCTAGACGTGGTCGTCCTGTAAAAATGACTGCAACAGCACAGGGCAGAATGCTGCATGAGGTAAAGAAGAATCCCAGAGTGTCAGCTAAAGACCTACAGAAATCTCTGGCACATGCTAACATTTTTGTTGACACATCTACAATAAGGAAAACATTAAACAAAAATTTGGAGTACATGGGAGGACACCACGGAGGAAGCCATTGCTGTTCAAAAAGAATATTGCAGCACGTTTGAAGTTTGCAAAAGAGCACCTGGATGTTCCACAGCACTACTGGCAAAATATACTGTGGACAGATGAAACCAAGAATGAGTTGTTTGGGAAGAACACACAACACTATGTGTGGAGAAAAAAAGGCACAGCACACCAACATCAAAACCTCATCCCTACTGTAAAACATGGCGGAGGGAGCATCATGGTTTGGGGCTGCTTTGCTGCCTCAGGGCCTGGATGGATTGTTGTCATTGATGGGAAAATGAATTCCAGAGTTTATCAAGACATTTTGCAGGAAAACATACGACCATCTGTCCGCCAACTGAAGCTCCGCAGAGGATGGGTGATGCAACAGGACAATGACCCAAAGCATACAAGTAATTCAACAAAACAATGGCTGCAACAGCACAGAATACGCCTTCTGGAGTGGCCCAGTCAGAGTCCTGACCTCAACCCGATTGAAATGCTGTGGCATGACCTTAAGAGAGCGATTCACACCAGACATCCCAAGAATATTGCTACACTGAACAGTTTTATGAAGAGGAGTGGTCCAAAATTACTCCAGATCGTTGTGAAGGTCTGATCTGCAACTACAGGAAACGTTTTGGTTGAGGTTATTGCTGCCAAAGGAGGGTCAACCAGTTATTAAGTCCAAAGGTTCACATACTTTTTCCTCCCTGCACTGTGAATGTTTACATGTTATGTGCAATTAAACCATGGCAACATCTAATGTTTGTGTAGTATTATGTTCAGCAGATTCGTGTTCTTCTATTGTTGTGACTTAGATGACGTTCAGAGCACATTTTATGCCCAATTCATGCAAAATTCCACGTAATCCCAAGGGGTTCACATACTTTTTCTTGCAACTCTATATACATATATATATATATATATATATATATATATATATATATTTTATATATTGAATATGGCCAAAATTGTAGCATTTCAAATATATGGCAATATAATTGGGAAGAATATGTTTAAAATATATTTCAAATAAATTTTTCTTCCATGTGGGTATATATACAGTGGATATAAGAAGTCTACACACCCCTGTTAAAATGTCAACTTTCTGTGATGTAAAGAAATGAGACAAAGATAAATAATTTCAGAATTTTCCACCTTTAATGTAACCTATAAACTGTACAACTCAGTTGAACATCAAACTGAAATATTTTAGGTGGAGGGAAGTAAAAAATAAAAAACTAAAATAGTATGGTTGCATAAGTTTGCACACCCTTAAACTAATACTTTGTTGAAGCACCTTTTGATTTTATTACAGCACTCAGTCTTTTAGGGTATGCGTCTATCAGCATGGCACATCTTGACTTGACAATATTTGTCCACTCTTCCTTGCAAAAACACTCCAAATCTATCAGATTGCGAGGACATCTCCTGTGCACAGCCCTCTTCAGATCACCCCACAGATTTTTGATCAGATTCAGGTCTGGGCTGTGGCTGGGCTATTCCAAAATGTTAATTCTTCTTCTGGTGAAGCCATTCCTTTATTGATTTAGATGTATGCTTTGGGTCATTGTTATGCTGAAAGATGAATTTCCTCTTTATGTTCAGCTTTCTAGCAGAAGCCTGAAGATTTTGTGCCAATATTGACTGGTATTTGGAACTGTTCACAATTCCCTCTACCTTGACTAAGGCCCCAGTTCCAGCTGAAGAAAAACAGCCCCAAAGCAAGGTGTTAACACCACCATGCTTCACTGTGGGTATGGTGTTATTTGGTGATGTGCAGTGTTGTTTTTGTGCCAAACATATCTTTTGGAATTATGGCCAAAAGGTTCAACCTTGGTTTCATCAGACCATAACACATTTTCCCACATGCTTTTGGGAGACTTCAGATGTGTTTTTGCAAAATTTAGTCGGGCTTGGATGTTTTTCTTTGTAAGAAAAGGCTTCCGTTTGCCACTCTACCCCATAGCCCAGACATATGAAGAATACAGGAGATTGTTGTCACATGTACAACTGATGAAGGTGCACAATATATAATTTTTTTATGCTTGCTGAACTGCACGGTTATTATCTCGCATCACAGCACTAGAAGAAGTACCAAAGGCATGGACTTATTAAGAACATGTTTGCAGCAGCAATATAGTTGCAGGGATATTGTGACATATATTTTTTTGATGCTGGACTTCTATTTATTCAATATATATTCACTCATAAATGATGCAAATGATAGTGGAGCTTGACACTATTTTTGATTTTAGTTTCTCCCAATCCTTCTCTGAATCATTTAGATGTTAATTGTCAAACTTCAGTTGGGCCTGTACATGTGCCTTCTTGAGGAGGGGAACCTTGTGGGCACTGCAGGATTTTAATCCATGGCAGTGTGTTGTGTTACCAGTAGTTTGTTTGGTGACTGTAGTCCCAACTGCCTTGAGATCATTCACAAACTCCTCCCATGTAGTTCTGGACTTATTTCTCACTCTTCTCATGATCATCCTCACCTCCTCACCCCATGAGGAGAAATCTTGCATGGAGCTCCAGACCGATGGGTATTTTGTATTTCATCCATTTGTGAATAGTCACTCCAACAGTTGTCTCCTTCTCACCAAGCTTCTAGCTGATGGCCTTGTAGCCCATTCCAGCCTTGTGCAGGTCTACAATCTTGTTCCTGACGTCCTTTGATAACTCTTTGGTCTTGCCCATGGTGGTGCCCAAGAAAGAGATTCTGTGGACAGTTGTCTTTTATATACATAATGAGCTGTCGTTAGTAGCACCTTTTTAAATTGACAGGACCAATCTGTGTACCACATGAACACATGAAAGCCAGAAATTTGTTGGTTGGTGCGGGGTCAAATGTGTGCTAAATAAACCCCTGTTTTTAACGCATACTGTTAGACAGGTCAATTTGGTTGTTGGCAAGCTGGCTGGCAAGTTGATTTGGAACTTTCTTTTCTCCTTTTTTTTTTTCTTGTTCAAACAATTTTATTTTTTTAACATGGAACAGTATAAAAATAATAAGCAAAAGTATGGGTCATTGAAGGTGTACATTAATTGCACAGTAAGAAACCCAATAATACAAGGTCAGGCATCACTAATAAAGAGGACTATCAAATGGCAGTTAAGGCCTAACAAAATGGGGGGGGGGGGGGGGTTCTCCTTTTTTTTTTTTTGACATGCATTGCCCGTTCCTGTGTCCTTGCTGCATAAGCCAGTTATAGACTGGGGCAGTGGCAATTTTTTTGCACGGTCAAATACTTATTTTACTCACTGAACTGCAACTCAATTTATAACATTTGTATCGCGTTTTTTTCTGGAGTTTTTGATTGATATCCTGTCTTTATCATTTAAGATACACCTATGATAAAAATTATAGACCCTTCTTTTCTTTGTAAGTGGGCATGCTTACAAAATATGCAAGGGATCAAATCATTATTTTCCCCACTGTAATCTTTTAGAGCATATGCAAATCCAATCACTAAAATTTCATACAAACTTTAACCCATTAAATCCTTTTCAAAACAAAGTTTCAATGTTTTTAAAATTGTAACTTTTAGTAAAATAATACCTGGTGATCCTGCTATGAAGGTCCATGTGCAGGCATTACTTGGTATATAAGGTAATAACGATCAGTCCCTATCTGTTTACTGTAGTACAGTGAGGTAAATATCCTGTCATGAGGATGTACCACTGTTGAAAAGTAAATTAGAGCTTTTGAACTCTCTGTATGTCTTTTACTTAATAATGTATCTTTTTTTACCATGCCATTTACTAGCTGGAGGAGTATTTTGAAGTAGTTAAGTAGCCAAGGATCTGATTTATTGCCAATATTGTAGAGCTAGGTCAGCCTTCGTTTTGTCTATGTGCATTTTGTACACCAATTTTAAATATAAGTATAATAAGCTGATATAGTAAAACATAGCTGGAAGGCCAGTGGATCATTATGTATGAACCAAGAACGCCATACATGCAGCATGATACACTGATTATAATGTGAGAAATTCATCTCAACTGTTTTGTTAAATTGCATTGCATTTGTATTGCTTTTACGTGTTATTGTTTTTAGTGTAAATAGCAATTGTAAAATGAATTATGAATCAATGGCATAATAATCTATTTAGGGCACGATTGGTACAAAAGGAGAACGTGGGCCACCTGGCGACAGTGGATTTCCTGGTATTCCTGGAGACAGAGGTTTTCCGGGAGCTCCAGGAGCTGGGCAACCAGGACAGCCTGGAGACAGAGGTGAATCAGGAACCCCTGGTTTTGTAGGATTACCTGGAAACCCTGGTAAGCAAAATTGCTTTTATATCACCATATTTCTTAACTGTCCCATGTAAAATTGCTTACTGATTAAGTGGAACAAATAAATTATTTGTTTTCATACTAGGAATTAAAGGTGAACCTGGAAAAGCTTTAGTTGTTGCTGGAGCCCCAGGACCAATGGGACCTGCAGGTTCTCCTGGATTTCCTGGGGATCAAGGTATGCCAATTTGTTTGTTTTTTTTATTTAATTTAGCACTAGTATAGAATGTATAAAAGATATTTGTTAATGATCCTTGCTACCATGAGAATTGGTCACATAAGTGCTTATGAGTCCATCATGTGACACTCACACCCACTTATGTCTCTTTACTTAGACATCTTACTCCAGTTAGCAGAGATAAATTAGGAAATTTGCAAGTTTACTTTACCTGATTACTAGTGGTTTATTAAAAGAATAACATAAAATACTTGTAAAATAATATATAACTTTTCGCTGCAGGTGAGAAGGGTGCTATAGGTTTTTCAGGCAGACCTGGGCTCCCTGGAGAGAAAGGAGACACTGGTATAGAGGGTAAAGCACTTCCTGGAGCCCCTGGAGAAAAAGGTAAGAAATTGTAAAGTATATCTCTGCTATGTGGTGCTTTTTAGTCTGTAGACTTTTCTTTTTAATATCTTGTGTGCATCAATGAGTTGGAAATATAAGATCTTGCTACACCTCGACCATGAGCAAACTTCCAGACATATTAAAAATTTACGTTTTACTCATATGAGGGATTTACCTCAGCCCCTTGGACATTAGGTAAAAGAAAAAAAGAAGAGCTTGGTAGCTTGCTTACCATTGACTACCACTGACTATGAACATACACTATATTGCCAAAAGTATTGGGACGCCTGTGTCAGGCACCACCTGGCGGAATCTCTAGTGATCCACAGAACGGGATTCCCCAGGATGCAGAGTCTAAGTCCCAGTCTGCCTTTTCACCAGAGCCCCTGTTAATGGGGATGGACTTGGTGAGAGACTGAAACCAGGTCGCGACCCCTGAGTGCACCCAACTGTGGTAGAGGGGTCCCACCGAGGGTACATGCCGGGGGGGGGGTGAGCCTGCTGTGAAGAGGGTGACAAGTCCAGGTCCCGAGCGGGATGGATGGATGACAGTCGGGAATGAGCGTAGTCAGACTAGCCAGGTCGGTAATGGTGGAGGCAGGTAGGTACCAAACAGTAGACAGAGAGCAGCTGGGTCACGAGCCAAGGTTCAGCAATGGGAGGTCCAATAGTAATATAACAACAGACAGGAGAGTAGTCAGGGACGAGCCGGGGGTCAGATTAGGAGAAGGTCAACACAAATCAGGACAAGCAGGATTGGCAACAGAACACACTTCAAACACGGGTACAGGAACTAGACCTTGCGGCAACCTAGTCACCGTCTGGCCAGTTTACATAGTGCACCCTGCACCGTCATTGGTGCAATTGCCGACGCCGACGCCCAGGTCCTAGTGCCTACACATTAGTGCACCTAGGCAATCTGTGTATGTGCAGACCTGTGCACCGCTGCGAGACCCGCAGTCCCTGACAGCCTGCCTTTACACGCACATGAACTTTAATGGCATCCCAGTCTTAAACTCTAGAGTTCAATATTGAGTTGGCCCACCCTTTGCAGCTATGACAGCTTCAACTCTTCTGGGAAGGCTGTCCACAAGGTTTAGGAGCATGTCTATTGGAATGTTTGACCATTCTACCAGAAGCACATTTGTGAGGTCAGGTACTGGAGTCAGATGAGAAGGCCTGGCTCGCAGTCTCCACTCTTATTCATCCCAAAGGTGTTCTATCTGGTTGAAGTCAGTACTCTGTGCAGGCCAGTCAAGTTCCTCCACCCCGTACTTGCTCATCCATGACTTTATGGAACTTGCTTTATGCACTGGTGCGCAGTCATGTCGGAACAGGAAGGGCCATCCCCAAACTGTTACCACAAAGTTGGGAGCATGAAATTGTCCAAAATGTCTTCGTATACTAATGTCATAAGAGTTCCCTTTACTGCCAAGCCCAACCCCTGAAAAACAAACTTAAACCATAATCTCCCCTCCACCAAACGTTACACTTGGTACAATGCAGTCAGGCAAGTACCATTCTGCTGGCAGCCGTAAAACCCAGACACGTCCATCGGATTGCCAGACAGAGAAGTGTGATTCATCACTCCAGAGCACACATAGTTTGGAGGTCTTTTACGTGGCCTATCACTTTGTAGCTGAGTTGCTGTTGTTCCCAGTTGCTTCCACTTTGTTATAATACCACTAAGTTGACCGTGGAATATTTAATAGCAAGGAAATTTCACGGATGAACCACGCTTGAATTCACAAAGCTCCTGAGAGTGACCCATCCGTTCACAAATGTTTCTAAAAGCAGTCTGCATGCCTAGGTGCTTGACAGGTGAATACAAAAATCATCTACACATTAGCATAAGTTAGCCATGGAATATTTTTACTCCTTTATGTAATAAAGAAGATTTTTGTATTCATCTGTTACTGACATTTTTGGAATTGAACTTACTGTACTTATAAGCAGATGGAGACTGCTAGACAGGCATGGTGAGCCTATATGCTTTAAGCCTGATACATTTGACAGGTAGTTGCAACCCATTTCTCTTTGGGTTTGCAAGCTTGATTTTATACCCCTGTGGCCATGGAGGTGATTGGTACACCTGAATCCAATGATTTGGAGGGGTGTCCCAATACTTTTGTCAATATAGTGTATCTTTTTTCCCAGAACTAGAAAAAGAGTTCACTCAGTTCAGCAATGGCTGCAAACTGGCTGGGACCAAGGAGGAGCACCATGTTCCTTGCATCAGAGTCTAGTAATGTCTGTATACAAACATATATCACACTGAATAAAACAAAAATTACATTAATTTTTTTTACAGTTGACATGATATACATCTCTGAAGATTAGTTTATAATGTATGCAGTAATTGTTTCTGGCACATTCACTTGCATTTTCATGAATAACATCTTTTATGGTGCAAAACAGTCATTTGTCATTTTAAGATTTCTGCTTGAAGCTTCTTAATTGGCATTGTATGCACTCAGGCTACCCTGGAATGGAGGGCCCACGAGGAATAGATGGCATACCTGGTCAGACAGGTCATGATGGTTTACCTGGAGTTCAAGGTCTACCAGGAGAGAAAGTAAGTAGTAAATTTCCCTTATGTAACCTAGGAGACAGCTACTGTACATTGGGTGCATAGAATCTTTATGCATCTATGTCGCATAGGAGATCTGTATCAAATGGCAAATGAAAGAGGCAAATTATTTAGCATAACAGTCCAATCACACTTATTAGCACACTGAGAACAGAAGCACACAGAGAAAGTCCACTGAAAAATGTTAGCTGGTTTCTTAACCACATTTTAGTATTTGAAAGAATAACATAAAGTCATCCTTCACAGGGAGGGTACATTAAAGTGTAACCATAGGTAAATTAACAAAAATGACATATGTTCCACCGTTTGTCACTAGGATTAACACAGCAGATTGTTTTTCTGAGCCCTCTTCCCTCCCATAACAACATTTTATTACCCATTAATCCTGTCAGTAAAAAAAAAAAAAGATTCTGTGTTAGTGCTGTTTACAGACTGTATACTAATGTCATTTTTGATCATAGCTACACTTTAAAAGCAACACAGACATTTCAGCTCTCTGGTCCACAGTTCCAAATGTTTCTGGGCTCACTCAGCCATTTAGTTTGTGTGTGGGAATTGACCTTGCTGGTTCTCTCATTGATTCACTGCTCCAACACATTAAAAGCCCCTAATTTATTCAAACACCTTTGATGATGGCAAATTTACCCATTCCATTACCCATGTAATTGAACCTATTACAATATCTTTCAAGCCAACAGCCCACCTGAACCTCCATCAGTAGAGGCTTTATGGCATGTCATAAAAAATTTATCAGAGCAGTGAAAATGTCACATCTATGGTAGTGAGCTCTATAAAACCACAGCTTGGTGTTCCCCATGGTGCAGAATCTAAGCCCTAGCCTGCTTGCACACCAGGGCTCCTGATGGTGGGGATGGACTTGGAGCAGGCTGGAACCAGGTCGCGGCCCCCAGGTACACCCAGCTGAGGTAGAGGAGACCGCTAGCAGGAGCAGGGTACAAGAGGAGTAGACACAGGAGATCCAGTTGGCAAGCCAAGGTCGGGACAAGCGGATAGCTAGCAATGTCAGGAACAAAGCCGGGGTCAGTAAACAGATAGACTATAAGCAAGGTCAGGAACAAAGCCAGGGTCGGTACACAGAATGACTAAATAGAAATCACAGGAGCACCACGTGGGAGCTCCGACAACAGACGAAGTAGCTTAGGCAATGTGGCCCAGTCTGAACACATCTTAAATAGACAGGCAGACAAGGAGGTGGGACAGAAAGTGATGGAAGGGAAGGACATAAAACTCAGGGAATAGCAGACGACGCCCATAGGTGATCACAGACAAACACACATGTGAAGAAATCAAGAGCAGCAAGGAGATAAGAGTAAACACACAAGAGGCTGCAAGCTAATTTGTGACAGAAAAGCAATCCATATTCCTGTCTTTTTGTTTTAACTGACAGAACCAAATTCTACACATAATTAATAAATTCTAATATGACAAAATTATGTTAATATTGAGCTTGCACCCAAATGTATATGAGAATTACAATCATTTTAAGACCAAATACCCCTATATTTTGAGGTGCAGGAGGGTGATTAGACACATTCCATCTATCAATTTGGAATTTATGGTAAGCAATAATATATTGGTTATCAGACTGTACTATGTAGTTATATGAAAATACTGATACAGCTAGAAAAACTGACATCGTGAAAATATCATAAACTCTCAGCTCTCCCATTTCATACCCCTAAGCTATTTTCATTTGATAGAGGCAACATCAGTGACACCATCTAGATGTATAACAAAAAGCTGCTACAATGGCAGCTGGAGCTCTCAATTTTCCATCATAGCTACACACAAGCACCAAGAGTCATTGCAGACCAGTGACTCTCACACACCAGATCAGGATTTAGGCTGCATTGAACTGCACTCTGCCAGCACCACAGGGAAATCCTTTTTAAGTTGTGTTAACTTTTATTCCCATTTTTTTTTTACTATTGTTATTGGTTGTCTATTTTTGTAATATCTTTTTCTGTAAATATTTTTCTTGCACCAGTTTTCTTGCTACTATATCTTAATCTCTGTCATATTTCTGTCTGGTGTGACAACATGTATCACAAACAGTTCAAAATGTCAGAATGGCTACAGCAGACACTGGGAACAGTCCATGTTTCTGTGGTGACAACTTACAAATGAACATATGGGCATTATTATAATATAATTATAATTTATATAATATATAAATGTCTAAATGTACTCATTATCAATGGTTTCATGTTAAAGGAAAGGCATACTGTAGTACTGTTTGAAAAAATGTTAACATCTTTATTCTGCAATCCTCATTACACACTAGTAAATTGAGTTTTAATGTTCAGGCTTGTTTTTCACATTAAAAATACAACATTCGTATCACATGTCTAGGGTGAACCAGGACTAGGTCTTCCGGGCCCTAAAGGATTACAAGGACCACAAGGTCCTTCTGGCCTTACTGGAGAAAAAGGAACTATAGGAGCACCAGGTGTCCCTGGTGAACAGGGCCTTCCAGGGGTTCCTGGCCATTCAGGAGCTAAAGGTAATGTAATATAAAATAAATCTTGTGCTTCAGAAAATGTTTTGATACATAAACATGGTTTTCTTTAGTGAGATACCAAAGAAAAAAGTGATGTTTGGCAACCAGTGTCAACTAGTTTCAATTTATTTCAGTCACAGCAATGAAATACCATTGTTGGAAACTAATACTAGCCATACACTTGGCATGTTTGTTGACAGATACCTACACTAGTAACTGAAGTTTCAGAGGAAAACCAGTAAAGTGCCATTCAGAAGGCATTTTGGATCAGTTTCATGCCATTTTAAAACATTTGATCATTCAAAACTGGGACACAGTTCAAGCTATGTCAGACTGCTGTGGTTGTGGTGTTAAGGAAAGCTTCAAAACCCACAACATGGCGTGCCACCTATATTTCTGGCATAAGGGTTTCTTAAACTAAACATGTTGAATTTTTTCTTTTTAATACATCATGATAAATTTAATCATGTTAGGAGTAGCTGATCTTATACTGTAATCAAATAGTTTGACTAAATGTGGTTTAAACCTTTAAGAATGAACATCTTGCCATAAAAATTAAATTTATTCAAATATTTAAATGTTTTTTGGGAACATCTTATATAATAAAGATTATATGCTCCTCAAACAGAGGTCTATGGGATGGCTGGAGGAGTATTAATGCTAGGCTAGTGTGAAGGAGTGAAATTACAAAACATATGAAGCCAAGAAATTAGACAAGGATAAGATGCCACTGAATTTAAAGCACTGGGTAAATTGACGGCACTATCTAAGTACCGGTAATCAATCAATAAAAATTAAAATGTAATATATTACAGCTTACCAATCATTAGTGGCTGTATTAGTTTTCTTTTTTATTTCCCCCCCTGTGTTTTGACCTGGTGGTCTGGCCAGTAACACACCTCCTGTATAAGAGTGTCTACAGTCTGGATGAAGGAGCACAGAGATACCTTTGAACAGCAGCATTATTCATCTGTGGGAAGGAAGTGTAAGATGCATTAGCAGATTTAAATACTAACAAATTGAAGACAAACCCCACCTAATTTTTATAATCAGTTACAGAAAACACATTTTTTGCTTTTTTGGATAAAAGTTTATGTATAGCTGAAAGCTATAAGCAACCCAGTCAGTGTTAAATGGTTTTTCTCAACCCTCTAACTGCTAAAATTACAGGACAGCTTGTTTTGATGAAAAATAACAGTCTTACTGGCAGGTTAACCAGTGGAAAATAAAAAACAAAAGCCTAAAAAAAAAAACTAATGCAGCCACCACATCTAAGAATTGATAGGCTGCAGTATGATAAGTGTTTGTTTTTGGGACTATTACCACTTTAATAAAAAAAAAAGTGCGAAAGTCAGAAACACTTTATTTTACCCAGTGCCTGCCACCTTTCAATGTATAGCCTGGAGGAACATATATTCAATAAAATACCCATAATAGTTAAATCTAAATGAATCAAATGCATGTAAAAACAATGTACAATTTACAATATACTATCTACTTATATGTGCAACAAGTATGAATGACTGAAAGTAAAACACGTGACTTCTAGTGTTAAAAAAAACCCCATGAATTACCAGAAACTGTAATTTGACTAAACATAAAAGTAATCCTTTCACCACTTGAGAGATACAAATAATTAAAAAACCTTTAAAAAGGAATGGAATGAAAAAAAGAAAAGGCAGGTTGGTAAAGAGAGAGTATGACAAATCCCCACAAAATTCTTCAGTATATTAAATATCATAAAGACAAGAGCTGGGCCTGAAGGCTATGTAAAAATGACAAGATGAGCTAGTTACTGTGAATGAACAAAGAGAAAGTAAATGTATTAAATGTATTCTTTGGTGGTGTGTATATAAAGGAACATGGTGGTGTTGATGCATAACATTAGTATAAGTATGGTATTAACACTATATTTTGTTCCCTAGCTTCAAAAGGGTAGAAACAATATGACAAAATAATGGGAATAGAGCCCCTGATACAAATGGTTTCATTAGTGCCCCCTGAAAGAGCTGAGATCAGATCAAGTTCTCCACCCAGTATCTATAGATCTGAAAGTTAAGCTTTAATTGCAGGAAATACATATGTGGGGTTTTATGAGTATGTAAAAAGAGCATGAGACAGAAATTAACAACAAAACTATAGCCAGAATTGATTTATGTGTTTTTTTAAATTTATTATTTATGTCAAACAAATCTATGTTTTTCACGTGGAAGTAAGCAAAAACAGATATAGTATATTGGGACTTTGATAAAGCCTTATAGCAGTTTTATAAAGCTGGAAAATATTGGTTTAGACAATAGCCAGCATTGATTTATGTTTTTTTTTATTTATTATTTATGTCAAACAAATCTATGTTTTTCATGTGGAAGTAAGCAAAAACAGATATAGTATATTGGGACTTTGATAAAGCCTAATAGCAGTTTCATAAAGCTGGAAAATATTAGTTTAAAAAATTTTGAATACAATTTTGTAACTGATTAGAACTGGCTTAGAGACCTAATTTACTCAAGCTGGATCTTCGATTGTAACTTTCATACCCCAAGGTTGCAATCTTCACTCTTTCATTTGTTTATCAATGATAAAGTGTTTGGGGTTAAAAATAGTTTATGTAACACAAAGCTATGTAGAAAAATTAAATCTTTGTAGCATGTCTATAATTTATAATCTGACATAGACACATTAGTTGATTGGGCAGCTACATGGTGATTTAGGTTATGTTTGGATAAATGTGAAGTTATGCATTGGATGTAATTATGATAGAGAAATATTCAGTGTCCTGAACTTAATAACAGCATGCAAAACCAATCTGAAAAAGGCATAAATCAGAGAGGGAGGGACATTATTTTGCATCTATAGAAAATATTAGAATGACCTCACTTTGTACTGTATCACAGAGCAGAGTATGTTGTGGTACAGAGAAAATAACATTTAGATTTTTTTCTTGAAGGTGAAACTGGCCCTATTGGAGCAACAGGCATGAGAGGTAATCCTGGTGTACCTGGCATTGGACCACATGGAGAACCAGGGCCTCAAGGATCAAAGGGATCTCCTGGAGTTTCAGGTAACTAAAATCTTTGTAGTGAGGTGAGAAGGGAATCTCACTACTGAGGTTACGTGCCGACTATGTCACTCCCACTTGGCGGCGGGATCACTCCGATATTGAGGGGTCTTGAGTATAGAGCCAATCACCACACGTATAAAATCTTTGTAGTGGACAATTGAATGGTTTTTGAAAGGTTTTAAGGGTTAAAAGGAAATAGAATGTATCTTTCTTACACAAATGCTCACCAATTAGCACCACATCATATTGTCTCTGCGCCATGCTATAATTCAATCTTCAGATTCCCGAAGTGGCTCCAATCTGCTACCAGTTGTGAATGGGGTATTGCTGTCCTCTTACTCCACTATCCTGGAGCACTTTCTGGTTCTTCCAAAATTCAATCAAGTGGCCCAGTCTCATAGATGTATTTTCCTTCTATAAGACTCCATTTTTTTCCTTTAATATCCACACAGTGGAATAAATGAGGGAAAGAGAGAAAAAACACTTCATCTCTGTAGTAAAAGAAGCACTTTATTAAAAAAGAATAGTATTGCACTAACTTTAAAATAACTTGACAATATAGCATATCATATACTTAGAGGTTAAAATGCTAAAGCCAAAGAGGGTGTTCACTTTGCAAAGGAATAGTTCCCTAGCACAGTAAATGTGGTGAAAATTAACTTTGCAAATATATATATAGATATAGATGTACTACAATAATATATATTATATTTTTCCTTGCACATGATTAAGATGATGGAAGTCAGCCGAGTTGCACCTCATTCACAAAGATAAAGGAATATTTCCCTTGCAAAGAGAAAATAGCCTATTAACCTTTAGTAAGTCAACCTCTGAGCATCCTCCCTCATACTGGATGTCAGCCTCTGAGTACTTTCAAGAGGGGGTTCTTTTAAGCACACACAGATAAATACCTTTCTCCTAGCTCCTCAATAAACCCATCCTCCTTTGAGGAACAAGAATGTGCATATACAATACAGTGTGGTGTTAAGTGTTGAAGGTAAGGAGGATACATTGAACCTGATGCACTGGTGATAAGAGATATACTGTATTTGCAGTGCACCCACAAGAAAACAGTAGCCGATTTTAAGAAGTTACAAACTGAAAAACATATCAGCACAGATTGAAATCCGTAGTACCTTAATACATATTAAGGTATTAACAGAACTAAAAACTAAATCATTCTATTACTATTTTACATAAATATGTATATAAACATATATAAGATATATATACTGTATATATACACACTACTGTGCAAAAGTTTTAGGCAGGCGTGAAAAGTGCTGTAAATTAATAATGCTTTCAGAAATAGAAGTGATAATAGTTTGTTTGTCAATTAATGAAACAGATAGTAAATGGACAGAAGAGAAATCCAAATCAAATCAATATTTGGTGTTTGCTTTCAAACCAGCATCAATTCTTCTAGGTACACTTAACCTCCCTGGTGGTATTCCCGAGTGTAGCTCGGGGTAAAGTTTCAGTACCACAAGCGGTAACCCCGAGCTACACTCGGGCTTACCATGCGGTGCTGCTCCGGGATCCCTCGATCACTTACCTCGTCCTGCGCTCCCGCGATGTCCCTCCTGCAGTGTCCCCGGCAATGTAATCCAGCGGATGCTGGCATCTGTCACCTGAGTTCCGTTCCCTGCGAGCGTCGGGACGTACAGGGGAGGGAAATGGCGGGAAATTTGAAAATGACAAAAAGTGACATTCACTAAAATCACTAAAATCACATAGAAAAACATTACTGTATCAAACCATTTCACATACATTTTGTCCCTACTACTTTGTCCTGTGCCCTGCCTGCATTTTTACTGTTCTTTCTGCCTGGAAACTGAGAAACGTCCATGGCATCCAAAAAACGTCCCTTTATGTCAAAAGCGGTTTTAGACCAGCTAGAGAACACCGATAGTAAATTAGAACCACTTGCAGAATTGAGTGATAATGATTTGTGGGGAATTTCATATATCTATATTGTACCGCGCTCCAAACTATATAACTATAAATGCTTAAAATAAATTATAAATAAATATTGTGTATCACCAATAATTCAATATTAATCTATAACCATGATGCTTAAATCCATAATTGCATAATATTTAAATCCATGATTAAAGTGAATCAAAAAATTAGTATGCACAAAAAACTGCGTGCATGGAAAACTCATAAAAGTGAAAAAATGAAGTGAAAATAAAATGTAAAAAATAAAATAAAATAAATTGAGAAAAAAGTATATATAAATGAATAATAGTTCAATTCATACAAGTGGAGATGGTAATATAGTTCAATCTAATCTGCGTGGTAAGTCAGTGTTCATGACATGAACCTCTCTCTCCTTCCTCCTCTCCTTTCTCCTCAATACAGCCTTATTTCAATAGGGACTTTATCCTCTAGTTGCTTGGCTTATTCCTCCATAATCGATACATACAGAGAATGGAAAAAAAGAGGAAACATAGTGTCTTATCCTGGGTAACAAATGTTTAATAAGCCTCTGATCTCCCACTCACATGGTATCAGCAAAAGTAGCGCTTTGTGTAAATATATCCAAATTCTCCTGCAAACAGCCCAGCCGGTGTGTGTGTGTTCACTCGATATACTCGCCGTTCCTCTATGGATGCGTGATGACGTCACCGCCCCTCCCCTACGCGTTACGCTACAGGGACTCGTAGCTTCCTCTGGGGGATGTACATCCCCCAGAGGAAGCTACGAGTCCCTGTAGCGTAACGCGTAGGGGAGGGGCGGTGACGTCATCACGCATCCATAGAGGAACGGCGAGTATATCGAGTGAACACACACACACCGGCTGGGCTGTTTGCAGGAGAATTTGGATATATTTACACAAAGCGCTACTTTTGCTGATACCATGTGAGTGGGAGATCAGAGGCTTATTAAACATTTGTTACCCAGGATAAGACACTATGTTTCCTCTTTTTTTCCATTCTCTGTATGTATCGATTATGGAGGAATAAGCCAAGCAACTAGAGGATAAAGTCCCTATTGAAATAAGGCTGTATTGAGGAGAAAGGAGAGGAGGAAGGAGAGAGAGGTTCATGTCATGAACACTGACTTACCACGCAGATTAGATTGAACTATATTACCATCTCCACTTGTATGAATTGAACTATTATTCATTTATATATACTTTTTTCTCAATTTATTTTATTTTATTTTTTACATTTTATTTTCACTTCATTTTTTCACTTTTATGAGTTTTCCATGCACGCAGTTTTTTGTGCATACTAATTTTTTGATTCACTTTAATCATGGATTTAAATATTATGCAATTATGGATTTAAGCATCATGGTTATAGATTAATATTGAATTATTGGTGATACACAATATTTATTTATAATTTATTTTTAAGCATTTATAGTTATATAGTTTGGAGAGCGCGGTACAATATAGATATATGAAATTCACATCCATACACCTGGAGAGGGTGTAATAAGTACCCAGCGATCTAAATATTTCAATTAAGCACGTTAATTAATTTAGTAGGGGTTCACTTTATTTAGTACTTAATACTATTTCTATACACCGAATTTATTGCTGTACAAGTAAGAAAACTTCTAGTGGCTCACAAGTATTTAATTAATTTGCATTTTTAATGATTTGTGGGGAAATTCGTCATCAGACACTGAAAATGATTTTGCGACTTTGCTCTGTGATGTGCGAACTTGTCGCTATATTTCAAATTTCAGTGTTTTTGGTTTGATTATATTATTGAATTAAATTTATTATTATTATATTATTATTTTTTATGATTATTTATTAAATTATAATTTATGATTTCGTGTGTTTCAAGTTTTATCCTACCTGGGGTGTTTACTAGACTCTTGTTTGGACAGATTTCAGTTAGTTATTCCTAAAAATACATATTTCCATGCAAAAAATGTACCGCTTTGTGCACAGAAATATGGACATAATCAGACCGCTAGGGCGGTTAAACACAGTTTCTGAAGGAACTCAGCAGGTAGGTTCAAACATGTTGGAGAGCTAATCACAGATCTTCTGTGGATGTAGGCTGCCTCAGATCCTTCTGTTTTTTTCATGTAAACCTAGACAGACTCAATGAAGTTGAGATCAGGGTTCTGTGGGGGTCAAACGACACTTCCAGGAATCCTTGTTCTTCTTTATGCTGAAGATATTTCTTAAATACATTGGCTGCATGTTTGAGGTCATTGTCCTGCTGAAAAATACATTTGGGGCCAATTACATGCCTTCCTGATAGTATGGCATGTTGGATAAGTATTTGACTGTTTGACTTCTCAGGCACCAATGATCCTGACTAAATCTTAAAATTAATTTGCAGAAATGCAGCTCTAAACTTGCAAGGAACTTCCACCATGCTTCACTGTTGTCTGTGGACACTCATTATTGTATCACTCTGTAGCCCTTTGGTGAACAAGCTGCCTCCTGCTACAGTCAAATATTCAAAAAGCGAATCCAGGGCACCTGCTGTCATTTCTCTGCACCTCAGTTCCTATGTTTTTGTGCATAGTTGAGTCGCTTAGCCTTGTTTCCACATTGGAGGTATGGCTTTTTGGACGCAATTCTTTCATGCAGACCACTTCTGGATAGACTTCTCTGGACAGTAGATTGGTGTACTTGGGTCCCACTGGTATCCACCAGTTCTGTGTTAATGGCACTACCGGACATCTTGTGATGTCAAAGGGAAGTGACCATGATGTGTCTTTCAAATGGAGCATTAAGTTTCCTTGGCCGACCACTGCCTCTAAGGTCCTCTACATTGCCTGTTTCTTTGTACTTCTTCAAAACAGCTTAAACAGCACATCTTGAAACCTCAATCTGCTTTGAAACCTTAGCCTAGGTTGCTGATGCAATATATCTACCTTGTGTCTTGTTGCTGTACTCAATCTTGCCATGGTGTATGACCTGTGGCATGAAATCTCACCATAGTAGCAGAGTTTGGCTGTTCCTCACCCAGTTTTAGAGTGGTTGTAAATCGCATTAAAAAAACAAACAAACATTCCCTGCGAGGCAATGGCATAATGTACTAGTATGTATCACATACTAGCACATTATGTAAAACTTACCTTAAAATGAAGCTCTCCAGTGCTGTCACCTCTGTAAAGGCTTCCACCTTCACCCAGTCTTCCTTCCGTGTTCACAAGCTCCGGCCATCTGACTGGTTGAACCGTGATGACCACACTCCTGTGCATGCGCACGGGAGTCACGGGCCAGGAAAAAAGTGCTCTGAAGGAATGGTACAGGTATGACGTTCCTTCAGAGTGCATGCGACAGCTAAAAAGAACCCCGAATATCTCCTAAATGGTGCACGTTTAGGAGATATTCATTTTACCTACAGGTAAGCTTACCTGTAGGTAAAACATATCAAAGTGAGTTTACTACCACGTTAAGCCTCCTACACAGCTGTTTTTGCTTCAGTGCTTCAGACTGTGTTTCAATCTACATATGAAATTGATGATCTTTAGCACCTGCTTGGAATAATTGGTTAGCCATACACTTGACTCTAATCCAATAAAATCCCTGACTTTGTGCAAATATGCTGGTTTGAAGCCAAAGGGTAGTCAAAATTGACTTGATTTAGATTTTTCTTCTCTTTGCTCACTTTGCATTTTGTAAATTGATAAAAATAAACAATTAAAAATGTATATTTTTTTACAACTTTTGCACATTACTGTATATATATATATATATATATATATATATATATATATATATATATATATAATTTGTTTTCTTAAGTATTGTGTTTCTGTAAAGGTGTAATTTTCATATTGTTTATTTTAGGTGATTTGCTGCGTGGGCACCTAGTGCTGCATTAGCAGCCTTCCTATGTGCCTTTAATTTTTAAAAAATGTTCTTTTGACTAGTATTTGTAAAGTACAGGCTTGTATTAAAGAAAAACATCTAATTTATTTCAGGAGTTACTCATAACAGACCTGATTTGGGCTTGGATTATGTATTGCATTATTAACACAGTTTAACAATTCTCCATGATTCATGCTGGGTATTGCACGAAAATGCAGCATCCAATAAAGCTTTAGTATAGTGACAGGGTTGTTTAAATTATTATACAGGATTTATATAGCGCCAACAGTTTAAATGTAACACTACAGACAATAGTAAAAACCTCTATTCACAATTGACATACAGTCACTGTCTCTAGTGTGCATCACTACCAATGCATTCCAAGGGCAGGCTCTCTTCATCAGAGCTGATGATGAAGCATACTAGAGAGACTGCAGCTACATGCCTTCAAACAGAGTCCACTACAGCGATTTTTTCATTCTTTATTCTTACAGTGTGGGTTGATCAGGTCTCCTCTTGGATGTTATTTTATATGAAATACTGCATACTGTATGTGATGTGATACTTGTGCAATTTCCGATTGTTCTATATTATTATATACACATTCCCTGTCTCAAAACCATAGATACTCTGTATTATAATTACAACAGCAAAAAATAACATTTACCTGGAAAGACATTTTCTAAATTTCCTCTGCAGTTAGCCTGCATTTTTTTAATGGCAGTCAAAACCATAAAATATGTTAATCAATATACATTGATGCGGTGTGCATTATGTCTGAAAATGTACCCAAGAAAAACAACATATTTAAATGTATATTTATGTTTTTGCTTTCCATTACCACCATTTTATCTTCTTTTTAATGTTTTAGTAGCTCCTTTTAATTGTATGACTTCTTCTTTTAAGTTTAGTAGACCTTTAATAATTGTGTATGTGATACATATATGGTGTCTTTTCTCTCATTTTTGTCACAGACCTTAAAATCAGATACTGTTTATTTAGCACATAATATCTCCATGCAATGCTGCTTACAGGCCCTGTTGGACAGAAAGGAGAAATAGGATATCCTGGTTTCCCTGGAACAGATATGCCAGGACCAAAGGGTGATAAGGGAAAAGCAGGCATGCCTGGATCCATGGGCATGCCAGGATTGCCTGGACAATCAGGTCCACCAGGAAAAGACGGGGCTTCAGGTTTACAAGGTAAGAATGCTTTATACTGATGATCACCTGGAACATTATGGCACTTAGCTAATAAAACGCTTTATACATACTGTGTAATATGTACAGTATATATTCTATTAAACACTTTTCAAGCTTGGTGCAGCTTTAAGCACAGCTTCACATTACTGCCAATGTTAACCTTGACTCTTTTCTCAGTACAGCTTACAAGCCCAATATATCTGGATAATTGGATAACTCTTAAATATCTCTATTTTTAATATGTGGATTGGATACTTCTATTTCCCTTTCTTTAAGGATAAGTTCACCTTTTGAAGCATGTTACAGGTTCCATCTGAATTTGGGGTGGAACATGTAACATGTATCACCATCTGCCACCTCTTCGCCTGATCCTCATTTCAGTGTGACAACAGGTATGGGATCCCATGCTCACACTTGCTGTCACAAATCAAAAAAGGCACAGCCATGCGGGATGCTGCCCGCACAGCTGTGCCATTCATTCACAGTTGCATGTGAATAGATATGTTATAACTACCATCAAGCCCATGGGTGACGGCTTGTAGTTCTGAATGAACTGCGAGGGCACTGATGACTGCCCTTGTAGTTCATTCACAAGCCCAACAGCTTTGTAACTGACAGCCCACATGGAGATACAGGCAGAAAGTTGCAGAGCTTGTCTGCAGAAGCCTGACATTGTACCTGTGATCCACTGGTCAGGGGTGCAATGCTTTCCAGGCTCCTGCAGGAAAAAATAATAAATGCACTTTTTCTGCAAAAAAATATGTGCATTTACTTTTTTAAATTCCTAAAAGGTGAACTTATCCTTTAAAGGACTGATCACAAATGAAAATATTAGGGCTAATGTAGGTACATTCATTTAGAAAGCATCCCTATGCTTCATAGATCTGCGATAAGAACATCTAAACAGTTGAATTGGAATATGTTCTCTTCTGTGTAGACTAGTCATTTTATTGATTTTGAAATGGAAAAACTGGGTTCTGGGTTCCATAATGATTCTATAGCCCATAGTGCCTGTTGCTGTTTCTCCAATAAAAAAAACAAAAGACTGCTTTTGGATCCATTAACTGATCCACTACTCAGTATTACAACTGTGAAATATCAATGCAAGTGAAAAAGGGTGAAACTGAGGTCTTCTTCCATTTAATGTCACTTATTAGTCAATTCAATTTAGTGACAAATAAATTTTCATGTTTTGCTGCAGAGCATATTTAAGGAGCAACTCAAGAAACATCTCACTGTATGAGCACCACTTTCCCATAGCTGTATAATCTTTCCAATTTACAAGTACATGTGGTAGTCCATTTCCTTGCTAAGTGATACATGGTGGTATTACCTTTTTAACAGAATCCTAATTTGCCATCCATAATCACAGAGCCACTGGAGTCTTATAAAGTCTCAGCAGCGGTACTATTTTCTATGGTATGGCCCCAGGACTTAAACACCCTTGACTTAGTAAACAGAGTCACAACCAACCATTTGTCAGCAAATGCATCCTCTCCTCATACATTGCTGCAGCAGCAACTCCCTGAATCTGCATAGTTTTAAAAAGTTACTTTCTTGCTTTATCACAGTGATCCACTCCAGCCACTCCTTTCATTCTTTTCTGTCACCATGGACATATTAAAAGAACAGAATAATTTTCTTGAGTCATTTTCAATTATTTTATTACACTCTCCCAACAACAGTTTCATCCACCAGTTTACACACCTACTCAGCTAGCATTGGTCCCTTGCCCTGGGCATTGCAAAGTGTTATTTTTTAAATAGAGGTATAATTAAAGTATACAGTTGCAAAAAAAAGTATGTGAACCCCTTGGGATTACATGGAGTTTTGCATGAATCACATTAAAAACAAGGGGTTTAGTCACACACATTCGCAAATAAATGTGTAAGCTGCAATGGCCACGTCCAAGCACCCCAGTGTACTTTGGTCCTAACTCTATAATTTTGACAGTCCCCCAAGTTGGAGCACATATACCAGTGGATAGATTAAGGGCTGCTGCGTTGCCTGGTGGGAGCTCACTCTTTCTTAAAGATACAGGGATACATGGGAAACTCAGAAAGGGCACAATGGCAACTGAAGGTATCCAGAGTCTTCCAAGTTAGAGTTTTCCAAGTTGGAGCACATACAGCAGTGGATAGATTAGGGGCAGGTTTGCTTGTAGGGAGCCCACCCTTCCCTTAAAGTACAGGGACACATGGAAACCCTGTAAGGGCACAATAGCAACTGAAGGTATCCAGCATGTCCTCGCACCAATTAACCAACTAGACAAACAAATGGCAACCACCCCAACCGCAGTACACTGAGGTGCCATGATCACTGCGGCTTACACTTACACATACATAAACTGTATATTTGAAAATGTGCGCGACTTAACTTCTCCTTTTTAATGTGAACTATTAGGCAGGGTAATTTGGTTTTGTAGCAGATGAGCTGGTAAGTGAGCTGGAAATTTTTTTGTTAGTTTTTTGATGTGCATTGCTAGCAATAGGTTTGGGTGGTTGCTTTTTGTTTGTCTAGTTGGTGTATTGGTGCAGGGAAACGCTGGATACCTTCAGCTGCCATTGTGCCTTTGCTGGGTGTCCTGTGCATCCCAGTACCTTTAAAGAGGGTTGAGCTCCCTCCAGGTAAACCTGCCCTTAATCTATCCACTGTTATACATGTTCAAACTGGGGAGACTCTAAAAATTATACAGTTAGGACCGCAGTACACTGGGGTACCTTGACGTGGCCACTAAGGGTTACACATATATTTGCAAATGTGTGCGACTAAACCCCTTGTTTTTAATGTGAACTGTTAGACAGGGTTAATTTGGTTTTGTTGCAGGCTAGCTGGTAAGAGAGCTAGGAATTTGTGTTTGTTTTTGAAGTATGTTGCGGGAGCAAGATTTCAAAGTTTCCCCATAAACGGGACTGGGCTTGCTTTTTTCTAGATCAACCCCCAGGTCTGTTGATCACTGTTGGGAGTTGGGAGTTGAGATGTAAGCGGGGTAGGTAACATGGTGTAGATAAGGGATATCTTTCCTGGGGAGTGTGGATCATTATCACACCTAGATTTGTACAGAGAAAAAAAAGCAATGAACTGTTAGAGAACTTGACACAATACTCCAAAAATGTTTTATTTGAAGCTATCTATATGTTCCTGTAAAAGGTCATTTAAAGGTATGTTGTAATGAAGAAAATGGAAGAATGTTTTGACCTGAGACAAGTTGTGAAACGTGGCACACCTACAAGTATGCCTGAAAACAGGAGGGAGAATTAAAAGCAGGGTCAAATGCCATGTTAATAAGGGATGACATAAGAGGTTTTCTCAGGGATTGCAAAGCTGCAGAGTATTTATGAGCTTCCCATACCTACATAGTGTGCTTTAATATAGGATTGAGAATCTGCTGTCTATCGATATCGATATTTTATAACCAATGTCCAATGTGTTGATGTGAAATTAAGAAAATGTTCACTTTCATTTGTTTTTCATTTTAGGCCAAAAAGGAGAAATAGGTTTAATGGGAGTTCCAGGAATCCCTGGTCAGTCAGGTTCCCCAGGCAATCCAGGATTACCCGGAGGAAAAGGTAAATTAAAGTAGAACTATAGGCAAATCTTTTTTTTCATTTTGTATAGAGTAAGGGAAGGTTATAACCTATATTGTTTTTTTTCTCCATCTGTGTCCCCTTGCGGAGATCACCAGAACATGTGTCCCAATTGGAAGATTTCCCCCTACTTTTTCTGAGGGCAACCCAAAATTTCACATTTTCTTTTACTTTCACTTTTAATGATCATGGTAAACAGGACAACAGAGAGGTGAATCTCACTAATGGGGGCACAGACAGCAGTTTAAAGGAACAAGTATTCTAATCCCCCTCCACTCTATCCAAAAATAAAAAAAAATGTTTTGCATTTAGTTATAATTTAAATCTTCATATTTGCTGAATAATGGTTTGTTCCACAATATACCAGCTATGTGACAAGTCCATAAAGCAGAGATTTCTCATATGAAAAGGGATGTACAGTCTTTTTTTCACTTCTTTTTTAGATAAGCATGTTAAGAGACCAGCTTGGTTTAGCTATTAATATTAATATTTATTAATCTTTTAAAGACATTCTTTCTATAGTTATTCTATAATTATATATAGGTACATGGGGGCAGTCACATTTGCCCATTGCATACACAGGCTCTGCCTGATTCCCAATGCTGAGCAGTAGTTGTGATTTACTACTTATTCTGACATTTTTCAAGTCTTTGGTAAGAGCTCCCTTTAGTGGCTTACAGTATCTACATGTTTAAAGTGGTTGTAAAGGCTGAAGGTTTTTTACCTGAATGCATTACTCTGAAGGTAAAAATCCTTCAATGTTCAGCTCCCCCAGCTCCAACTTATACTTAGCTGAGCCCAAATTCTCAATCTAGTAATGTGGTTCAGAGCAAGTGATGGCTTATGATGTGATGAAGCTATTCACAGCCAGTGATGAGGCAGCAGGGGCTGGGGTAGTGCAAGCCCACATGATTGCCCCATAGGAAGCCACTTGCAGAGGGAGAGAAACCAGGAGAGCCAATGGGGGTTCTGAGAAGAGGAGGAGTGGGGCTGTGTTTTATGCAAAACCTTTGCACAGAATCGATAAGTATATCATGTTTGTTTAAAAAAAAACAAGGTTTACAATTACTTTAATGCAATAGCAAATATATGGTGACTCAAGCTTGTAAGAACAAGCTATGTCAAAACTAAGACCATATAGGGATTATCTTTATTTTCACTCAGTCAGTGGTCTTTTAACATGAAGAATATCATAATTAGAGATGAGCGAATTATTCAAAAATTCGGTTCGGCTGATTCGCCGAATTCGCCGAATAAATTCGCTTCGAGCCGAATATATTCGCTGCGAATTTAACTTATAAAAAGGGTGTTTCTAGGCTTCAGAGAGCCTTTATATTAGTGCAGAACACTGTACCTTTAATTTAAATGCCCTTGGAGTCTGCTGGGGAAGAGAAATAATACTGTCAGTCAGTATGACATGCAGATGAGTGCCATCGATCTTAGAATCACCGCACACTTCACTCATTTGGGCAGTCACGGGCCAAAACCAGAGTGTGGAGCCACAGTGTGGCGGTGGAGGCAGCAGCAATGGGAGGCCATACAGCACCCTATGACAAAATGGAACCCACCAGCAGTGTGAGGAGACCTGAAAGTGGCACATGGCAGAGTGTGGCGATGGAGACAGCAGCAATGGGGGCCGTACAGGGACCCATGACACACTCTGGACCTGGCAGCAGCATGAGGAGGCGGTACAGGGGCCCATGACAGATTACGGGCCTGGCAGCAGCATGAGGAGTCGGTACGGGGGCCCATGGCAGATTACGGGCCTGGCAGCAGCATGAGGAGGCGGTACAGGGGCCCATGGCAGAGTGGCGGAGCATAAGCAGCTAAAATGAAGGCCATACAGAGCCTATGTTAAAAAGTCCCCCCAGCAGCAGCGTGGGGAGACGACTATCAAGAGTCCAATGGCAGAGTGGCGGAGCAGAAGCAGCTTCAATTGAAGGCCATACACAGGCCTAGGTTTAAAAGTCCCTCACAGTTAATTCCAATAACGAACTCTACTACTCCTCCGTGCAATCTACTTACGAGACCCTGGGCAGGTCTGGGTCCAATTTGTGGTAGAGACTGGTTTTGTTCAGCCATGCTTGAGCGAGTAATAACAGGTCTGTGCTGCCCTTTGGTGTCTGGCTTAATGCGCACAACACTGAACGTCCCAGCGTTTGTCAACGATTTGCCGTTAAGTGATGCAAACCCGCTGAACCACGTTCATGAGGAGCCGGTACAGGGGGCCATGAATCAGTATGGACCTGGCAGCAGCGTGAGCAGACGACAGAGGCACATGGCGCAGGGTGGCGGTGTAGGCAGCATTATTCTGAAGCCATACACAGGCCTAGGTTAAAAGCGGAAGCCGTCAGCAGCGTGAGCAGACGACAGAGACACATGGCGCAGGGTGGCGGTGGATGCAGCAGTATTCGGAAGCCAAACACAGGCCTCGGTTAAAAAGCGGAAGCCGTCAGCAGCGTGAGCAGATGACAGAGGCACATGGCGCAGGGTGGCGGTGGAGGCAGCAGCAATGGAAGGCCATACAGCACCCTATCACAAAATGGAACCCACCAACAGTGTAAGGAGACCTGAAAGTGGCACATGGCAGAGTCTGGCGATGAAGTCAGCAGCAATGGGAGGCCGTACAGGGACCCATGACACACTCATTGGACCTGGCAGCAGCAAGAGGAGGCGGTACAGGGGCCCATGGCAGAGTGGCGAAGCGTAAGCAGCTTAAATTGAAGGCCATACAGAGGCCTATGTTAAAAAGTCCCCCCAGCAGCAGTGTGGGGAGACGACTATCAAGAGTCCAATGGCAGAGTGGCGGAGCAGAAGCAGCTTCAATTGAAGGCCAAACACAGCCTAGTTAAAAAGTCCCCCCAGCAGCAGTGTGGGGAGACGACTATCAAGACAAAGTCCAATGGCTGAGTGGCGATTCCGGGAAGTCAGCGTTGTGATTGCCATAGATGCAATAAAAAGTCCCCCCAAAGTGTGGGGAGACGACTATCAAGAGAATGGCTGAATCCGGGAAGTCCGTTGTGGGTGCAATGCAAGAAGATGCGAAGAAGATATACCGTCGTACTTCCATCCATAAGACGGAACAACCTGCGAACCGGGAGCTTTATTGCCCTGACCCGCTGAGCAGCTTCTGGGATACCCAAGAGCTTCAATTAAAGGCCATGGCCAGAGTGGCGGAGCGGAAGCAGCTTCAATTGAAGGCCATACACAGGCTTAGGTTTGAAAAAAAAAGTCCCCCCAGCAGCAGTGTGGGGAGACGACTATCAAGAGTCCAATGGCTGAGTGGCGATCCGGGAAGTCAGCGTTGTGATTGCAGATGCAATGCAGAGATTCTATGAGGTAATGCCGTGGGTGCGAAGAAGATCATATACCGTCGTACTTCCATCCATAAGACGGAACAACCTGCGAACCGGGAAGCTTTATTGCCCTGACCCGCTGAGCAGCTTCTGGGATACCCAAGAGGCCCATGGCAGAGTGGCGGAGCGTAAGCAGCTTCAATTAAAGGCCATACAGAGGCCTATGTTAAAAAGTCCCCCCAGCAGCAGCGTGGGGAGACGACTATCAAGAGTCCAATGGCAGAGTGGCGGAGCGGAAGCAGCTTCAATTGAAGGCCATACACAGGCCTAGGTTAAAAAGTCCCCCCAGCAGCAGTGTGGGGAGACCCGAAATGTGGCATCAGATGGCGCTGGGTGGCGGTGGAAGGCAGCGTTGTGATTGCAGAAGACATATGCACAGGACTATTCTAAAAAGCGGAAGCACGTCAGCACGTGAGGTGACGACAGAAGCTCATATACCGTCGTACAGGGTGGCCATAAGACGGCACAGTATTCGGAACCCATACACAGGCCTATTAAAAAGCGGAAGCCGCTCAGCAGCTGAGCAGACGATACCCAAGAGGCCCATGAGCGCAGAGTGGCGGTGGAGACAGCTTATTCGGAAGCATACACAGGCCTAGGTTTAAAAGGAACCCAGCAGCGTGAGCAAGACGACAAAGACGCACTGGCAGAGATGGTCTGGCAGCAGTATGAGAAGGCGGTACAAAGTCCCCCCAGCAGCACAGTGTGGGGATGACGGCTATAGAGTCCTGGATGCCAGAAAGTGGCCGATAGGGGCTATATACTGCATGCAGAATTAAAGGTTTGAAGCGCCTATAAAGGCTTTACAACACTAATAACAATACATGACTTAATTGACCATTGCCTTATAAGGACTTCTATACACAGCATGAATATCATGACTTAGCTTCTGGGAGAGTATCCCCTATGTTTGGAAGACCCGGGAATATACAAAATGTAATTCAGTAGAGCTGGCGGACAGCGGAGGCAATTAAGTACATAAATAGTTAAAAATCAATTCATCAGTTGGGGTCCAGACCAGCAGGGCCATCGCAAGGCGACACATAATAAAAAGCAAATTCATGAGCTGTTCAGACACGGAAGCTCAAGGCGGACAGATATTACACAAGCATTCCCGCAGGTGGTTCAGGGAGCGGCCTGGACGGCTTAGGTTATTACTAAGTATATTTTCGGAAGCCAACACATCGGCCTATAAATAGATGTCTACACAAAAGCGGAATGTCGTCAGACAGCGTGAGCAACGACAGAGGATATACATGGCAATTCCCAGGTGTCAGTGAGCGGTGGAGGCAGCTAGTATTTGGAAGCTAAATATAATCTTTCTGGCCAGGTTTTAAAACTGGCCTAAAAATAGCATGACACTCTACACAGTAACAACAAAGTAGTCGCCATACAGAGCGTATCCTACAAATTGAGCATTATGAGAATGCGGTTACAGGGGGCCCTTGTGCAAAGTGTGGTGATGGGGGCTACCTTAGTAGACTGGATGCCAGAAAGTCGACAGATCAAGGCTATACTGTGTACATTACATGGAATTATCTTAAAAGTTGTAAAGACCAAGCATGTGAGGCCTATAAGGCATACCGATACAACAAGAAGTTAACAATGTAAGAAAACTTGAGGGGG